GGCAGAAATCGGGTTGTCGGAAAGGTGAGAGGTTCAGTCACTTCAGTTAAGTCACATGGTGTCCTCAGTCACCTTTAGTCGCTTTTTTGTTCTTGTTCTTATTTTGATTTTTCATCAGTCTCTTTTTTTCTCTTTTTTCCTTAATTTATTTACTATTTTTGTAAAGTTTTTATGTCTCCTAAAGTGCATTAGAGAAGTAGATTCCAGAATTTCCGTGCACAGTCCAAGACATTTAGATGTTACTGTTAATTTAATGCAGAAAACGCCTGAAGTTACCGCGTCTTAAATTAACATCACAAAAACTATTGAAAGGACAACTAGTTTATACTGAAAAACACATTTTTAGTTTTAACTTGTTTAATTCAACTTTTACCAGTAATGAAAACAGAAAAACTGAAATTAGATTAACTTCTAAAAACTGTAGAAGGAATCATGCAGAATTCCTCAGAGCGTCTTTATTGCTCCTTTCTATGGAAAACTGCCGCAAATCACCCCAGTGTAAACTAAAGGTCACCTGATTGAATGAGTTAGACAAATGTTAAACGACGCGATTGCCTAACCGATTGGAGGGTATGTTAGAGACAGGAAGTCTTAACTCCATTCTGTTCAGTCTACCTTTAATCATCAGGTGACTCAAACTAATTGTCCTGGCTTTTCTTGTTATATATCATTTAGTACGAAACAAAGAATAAAAACCCGTCAGTTTCATTCATATGAAATAAAGATTATTATTGAGCTCACGATCGACTTTTTTTATTGAAAAGCTGCGCACAGTTTACAAAATGCCAATTTTGTCATGCAAACGCCTTGTTCGATTTTGAATTTTATCGACGCAAGATTATATAGAACCTGAGGAAGCTTTTTAAGAAAGTTAGTTGTTAAAAGGTACTCTTTGAAGATTATTTTCTAAAATATAGTACATCGGCACAAATCGGGTCTTCGGAAAGGTGAGAGGCTCGGTCCCTCATTTAAAGCACGTGGTATCCTCAGTCACGTACAGTCGTTTCTTTGTTCTTGTTTTCATTTTGTGTTTCTTATCAGTCTCACTCAATAAATTTTAAACGACGCTATTGCCTAACCGATCGGAGGGTATGTTAAAGGCAGAAATTCTTAATTATTAATTATTATTCAGCTCGTGATCGACTAGTTCCTTATTAAACAGCTGCGTACAGTTCATAAAATGCCAATTCTTCCATGTAAACGCCTTGTTCGACTCTGAGTTTCGTCGGCGGAAGATTATAAAGAACCTGAGGAGGCTTTTAAGAAAGTTGCTGGAGATAAGATAGGCTTTGAAGATTATTTTCGTAACAAATTGCTCTTAACCTTTTTCAATGTACATCCTAAATTTTAGGGATAACTGACGGTAATGTAAGTTTCTGATAAGTGGATTTCAGACTTTCGCGTGCAGTGCAAGACAATTGGATGTTATTGTTAATTTATTGCGAAAATGTCTGAAGCTACCGCGTCTCAAATTAGCGCCAAGTAGACATTGAAAAACACATTTCTTATTTTAATTTGTTTAATGCACCTTTTACCAGTAATGAAAACAAAAACAGGGACAGAACCATACAAAATTCTTCAGAGCGTCTTTATTGCTACTTTCTATGGAAAACTTTAGAAAATCACCTCAGTGTAACCTATCTGTCACTTAATTGTAAAACAAATATTAAACGACGCTCTTGCCAAACCAATCGGAGGGTATGCTAGAGACAGGAATTCTTAATTATTATTCAGCTCACGGTTGGCCTTTTTCCTTATTTAACAGCTGCGCACAGCTCATAAAATGCGAATTTTGCAACGCAAACGCCTTGTTCGATTCTGAGTTTCATCGGTGGTAGATTATAAAGAACCTGATGAGGCTTTTATAAAAGTTACTGGAGATAAGGTAGGCTTTGAAGATTATTTTCGTAACAAATTGCTCTCAGTTCTTTTCAATGTTTCTAAAACGGACTTCACCCTAAATTCTAGGGAGAGCTGACGGTAAGGTGAGTATCTAGGGAGGGTTGTCCAATAAACCTATATTGGTTTGATTTATCAGAGGCACTTTGAATTATGAAAATAGCCAAAAACCTCTCTTGGGTAACATAAGATTGAAGGAAACCCAATTTTTATTGCTGGCTTTAAAGAAATAACATGTACGGATCATCGTTTTCTGTGGCATGAATATATTAAAAATTTAAAAAAAAACTACTTGAAAAAGTGGAGTGAATTGACGGCTGAAATGTGTGACAAAGAGAAAAAACTTTAGATATTCGACACTTGCTTGTATGATACCATAACTGAAGACAAAAAATGATAACCGTTTTGTGTCAAATTCGTTTGATATGCTGTACTTGCTTTAAGCCCATGTAGAGTTTTTTTAAGAAGAAATCTTTCTCATACTCTCACATGCTCCTATGAAGATGTGTTACGAGAATTCGGTATTAACAAGATTTAGACGGTGAGCATTCATGGACTCCTTAATTTCCCCCCCCCCCCCCCCCTATTATAACTCTATATATATATATATATTTAATTCCCGAGTTTTAACATTTGAAAGGAAAAAAAAAACCGTCTTCTTGGGAAGAACACGACAGAAATTAAAAGCGGAGTAAATTGGCCAGTGCAGCTGATATCTTGGTTTGAAAAGAATTTTAGATATAGATTATCAGTTTTGGCGTAAGGCGATTTTTCTCGTTATTAGCCTTTGTAAAAAAAATTAATAAATAGCGAATAATATATAAGCGCGCGTAAATATGGAATTTCTCTTCAAGTGTCAAACTCGATAGCTCACGAGTGAGCACAGCGAACGAGTGAGATGTCTAGTTGAACACGAGAAGAGAAATTTCATATCTACAAACAACCATGTATTATTTTGTTTATCATATAAACACAATAGCCCTTTACTGAGAAAATAAATGAATCGACAATCCCCGATTAACAATCGTAGAGTGTGTTGCCGCTAACTCTTAGGATGGAAACCGTAACAAATGAGCTGTCATTCATCTAAATGATCTAAGACATATCTGATTGGTTCACGCATGTCATGTTTGCATGAAGTATATTTTGGTGCGTCGTCGTAGGGTAAAAGCTTATGTGACATGTCTCGCATCTTTCTAAGAAAGAGTAGAAAGCAGCCTGTGAATTCGAAAAAGTTTTCTTTCTGTAAGGAGCGGTGAATTCCATGCGTCTCGTTTTAACTGTGCGTGTCTATTCGACTTCCAGGTAAGGAACAGTAAAAT